AACTCTCATTGCACTATTGATGCGAACAAAAAAGTCCATTCGTACAGCATCACGTGGGCAAATGACTGTCAAGAATGGTTGACATATTCTCTTCATTTTAACTCACTACTCTGGACAATTTCCTTTTAACAATCCAGACTGCGAGGAAGATGTACGAATTATATGAAATCTAAAATTCATGCTATTTCATGAATGTTTTCAAAGCAGAAATTACAGGTGAAAGGTGATTTCTATCAAAATATTATTATTATTATTATTTCAAATGGCAGGCGTTTTTAATAGGGACCATTAGTTATTTAGATGGCTTCGAGCTTCACAGAGGGAGGAACATTAAAGTGAGGAAAATTCGAGAGGGAGAACAAAAGAGTGATTCACAGATGTTGAAGAGACAGGCAGACACAAAGGTAGGGACACAGATGAGATGGGTACTTTGGAAGTTGTGAAATATGACATACAGTGGGGTGATGGTAGTTAGAAGCCAGAAGTCAACTGCCGGTTAATAAACTTTTTTGCCGTATGAGTATTCGTTGCCCAGGATGCACCACGTGGAGGTAAGTCTATCGCACACCCCTCTATTAAAATATAGGTTCCAGTAAAGATGTTAATAAGCCAGTTTGATCAGATTGGTCTAATTGAAATTGCATCAAAAGGTACTAATGAAGCAAGAATTCCATAAACTTCAAACTTGAAATGATTTGGGTTTGGTGGTGCAAACTTGGGTTTGAAAAATTTGATGATTTTGTACTTTAGTGATCTATGAAATTTGTGCAAATCTTTTACTCCAAATATCACAAAATTATTTTAAGATTTGTAATCCTTCTAATTTCAATCAGATGCATATCATATTTATTATAATGATATAATATTCAATTTAATACAATAAAATGCACATTGAAATAAATTTTTATGATTTTAAAAGGATTTTAAATATTTGTCACTCTTCCATTTAAGATAACCTATTCTGTTTTCTGGTAGCTTATAACAGTTGGATTTGAAGTCTGCGCCATTCAAATACTATTTCCAAGAATTTATCCTCTAATGAATCGATACAACAAAAAAATTTATTCTCAAGAAAGAATCGTAATTCAAATAACAAGTCACTGCATAAATTTTATTAATTTTATGGAATAATTTAAAACATGAAATGAACTGTCGAGTTATATAGAGGTGCGTATTAAATACCGCCACCGTAGGTATGCTTTTCGTCGACTGGATCTTCTACATCTAACCAATCAATGAAGAAATTTCTGGTCTTATCAGGAGGACTAATTATCATGGACTCGGAGAAGTCACTATCAACAAGGGTGGTACACGCCTCTCCATAATACGTGCGGTCGCAGATACAGCGCTGTTCATTCACAATTCTACCACTCTCGTCACGACCTATCGCCTGCAGACATGTGCCGTGAGAGCATGCAGGAGTCCCACTTGGGCATTTTGTAACTCTTACTCGGCTATAAGTTAAAAAGACCTGGGAGTTAGAAGAATGATACTACTTAAATACATGCATAGGTTTAAAAAAAACATTACCACTCAGCGAGAGTGAAAATTAGAACGAGCGTAGCGATAGCAAGGAGTGAGGTGTGAGTGGCAGCCATGAGGGTGGTTTACGATGTACTGGATGTGAAAACACAAGACCTTAAGTACCAAACAGTGGGGTAATACGTCCGCACTCAACCATTACAAAACCAAATGACTGCTCGCCCTATGGTCACTTGATTAATGGCTGGTCGAGCGTGGTTGGAAAGGCAAGGGGCTCCGCCCACCTACCCCATAACAGCTCGCAAAAAAAATAACTGGCTTCAGTGTCAGCTGATTTCAGCCAACTGTTTAGACTCCTCTTTTCTTATAATTCGTTTAAGCAGCCAAGTAGGACTTATGGAATTTCCCATTTATTTTCATTTCAATTTAAGGGAAAGAAACAAATCAGCAAAATTTAGATTCCTGGTGGAAGAACATTCACTTTCTTTGTATTGACCGTCTATTTTATTTTCGAAACTTCCATCATAGAATTGACAGACATGATAACTGTTGTTCTGTTCAAAATTTACTATTGATTTCGTATGGAAAGATTGCTGGGTTTATGAAGCGTATATTGGGCATGGTAGTTTTATTTTTATATGCTATCTGATTTTAACGTCTTTTTTTTTAAATCGCAAATTTCATCGAATTTCATCGCCTGATTTCGAGGAGATATTTTTATTAAAAAATTACTGTTTGCTTGCGATTCGGTTGTTTGCTAATGCTTGTAAATTATCACATTAACTCTGAGTCATTCAATGACTGGCCACGAATACCCTCCTCCCCACTCCAAACTTCTCTTTTGAGATTCTACAACTGGAGGGGACCTCATTTGTCACAGTATCTATTTAGGCCATCTAAATAGTTGCTTTTGACACTCTGTTCTAAGATGTGCTTCTGTCAAGACATTTTCCTACCCTCGGTCTTACGTTACCCCTGCAACTTCAGTGTCATCAAAAATCTCTTTCACCTCAAAGAGTCAAAACATTTAAATCATATGTCAAGGTCAACCGTCAAGGAAAATTTTAAAATACCTTCTTCAATTGCTTATCTTTTTTCCCGAAAGAAGAATCAAGGTGGTGTGCCATGGAAATGACGTATAAAAGAATGATGGTTATTTGAAAAGTACTTACGACAGTATTGTGGAATTTTTCACATGTACTCAGGTGGATGTGAAGTAACAGGTTTATTGTTAATAGTGGCATTTAAAGGAAAATAATCTTCTGTGTCAAACTACATAATTGTTAAGGAATTGCGACTGTTAATACGAAGGGGTTTCTATTGTTATTCAAATGGAATGTGACACGGCCTGATATTTTAAAAATTGGGGTGTGCGGTAGACTTACTTCCACGTGGTGCACCCAGGACAAAAAAGTCTATGAACCGGCAGTTGACTTCTGACTTCTAACTACCATGGCTCCACTGTATGTCATAATCGGCCACTTTCACAGTACTCATCTTATCATGTCTCTGCCTTTGTGTCTCCTTCGCGTCTTTGAAACACTCTTCTGTCCCCCCCCCCCACTCTCGACTTTTTCATTTTGATGTTCCTTCACCTCTGTGAAGCCTGAAGTCAAATAAAGGGCTAATGATAACTATCAACACGCTAGCCATTTGAAACAAATAAATAAAATATTTAAAAGATAAATTTTGAATTCGAGAAACGAAAATAAAATATTTTTAATTCTCATATCAAGTAATAATATTTTGAGTGGTTTGTTTAACTAGCTTCCTATTATTTATGCTTTCTAAAAGTCAAATAGCAAGTTGTTGCATTCTCTCAAAATTATTGATGTGAAATTCACGTAAAAATACGATCATATCATAACAATGGGAATACATTGTTGAGAATATTACCCAGTTCTAAAAAGTAATCTATGAACGTGGACTCATACTAACATTTTCTCACTGTCAACAATAATGGAACATCAGAAAATCTACTCTAATTTAATTGAGATAACTCAATTTTCACAATCATATGCCCCCCTCCCTATTGCTCGCCTCGTTTAAATCTGTTCATTCTGCATTAGGCCTCAAATAAGTCCAGCCGAAATTAGTACATTCGTTTCTGGGGCTATTCTCTTATCTATCTGGTTAGAATTTTAATCAGACTATACATCTACATGGACTCTATATACACTGTTTGGTGCAATATTAATAACAAGGACAAGAAGGACCATATGAATGTGTAAATTGTGAATCGAAAGATGCTTTTTTCATTGGAACCACTTTAATTAATACCCAATATCCCAATGGATTAAGGAAACGCGTTAATTTCATAACTGTTCTGCTCAAATCGCCTACAATATTTGCATAAGATTTTTTCTTGGATTCAAAACTACAATCGGTTATCTTGATAGAGCGTACGGTGGAAAAGGGGTATCACAGGCCAGCACTATTTACAGTGGCACACACGTGGGGCCATGACAGTTATTGCAGTTGTTTAACGGGGTGTGACGCTTGAACCGTTGTCCGAATTTCCAGCGTGGGCGTTAAAGTCTATTTTTTTCTTGTTATCTTAAATTCTGATGATTCAAAAATAGAACATTTCGTATTAGTAATGGTGAGTGGACCTACCGTGTACTTAGAGGATAAAGTACTAAATGGTTTTCTATCAAGTAAATAAGTGCTATTTGAGGTTAGTTTGAAATAGTTAATTAGTAAAGGTAGTTCAAGAAGAGAACAGAAACTACGCAGAACCTCTCTGGTTAAGTGGTTTTGACATCAGCCAACCATTTATATGAATCTGTGGCATCATTTCTTATCAGTATTCCAGACTTTGACTAAGGTTACGGGTATTTGCTGATCAAATGCGCCTCAAATTGATATAATATAATAAAAGTACTCGTGTTAGATTATCTTTCGAATTCCAGAAGGCAAAAACAGGGCAAATTTAGAGTAACAATTAATTAATTATTTTTTTACCAATGGAGTGTTTTGGAAACATGATTTTTAAACCATTTTCCATAAATTTAACAATAAATCTAACCTTGGGCTACAAAACCAATCACCATAGCATGAATAGGCGGGGGAATTGAAATTAAAAGAGGCAAAGCATCTTTCGACTCAGAACCTTTCATCAAACTAAATTCAATAATTAATTGAATATCAGGAACTATGTGACCAAGATAATTGAATTTGAAGTCATCTAAACTCTGCAAATGTCTCAAAAAGGTCTATGGGGAGGGGGTGTTTACAAATTCGCGATAAAAGCACGAATTCTAAATTTGATTCGCATCATCTTATTCTTTAAATAAGAATGAATGAACGAGATTACCAAATGTGATGCCTTTACTTAAACTTCGAAACAAAGGGTGATTGTAAGTAAAAAATTCAAATGTGGGAATATTACTGTCGTTTTTATTAGATAACGTGTTAAATATAAACTCGTGTGAAATTTGGAAACTCATGACAGTAGTTATAGCCCTTAATTATATTTTGGAAATTTGCCCAACTGGGACTTAAGGGTAAATAGTGGTAAACATCAAAGGAACCGCAATTTAAGGTACTAAAACTGGCCTGAGGAATAATTACGCCTTAATAAAGCAATAGGTGACAGGATGATGCAGGATTTACTTGGTTTTTTCTGTGGAAAATTGAATAAAGCAGCATATTATTTCCGCCAAAGCGTGGTGTTGCATCATAGATAATTAAGGCAGCTTTTAGATGAGATGGTGTTACATCTTTTTTCCTTCTTTCACACATTCAGATCTTGCGTGAGTTCGTTGAAAAGACCTCACACAAAATGATAGTTGAGCGTATTCAAGTCAATAACCCCACTCAAGACTAAAAATCAATAGAAGGGATGCGTTTTTAAGAAATGTATCTAAATTTGTGGCATTTAGAGGTACTTGTATCACATCATGATCATTCCAGCACAAAATCGTGATTCGGAGGATAGGTCATGCTCAGTAGGGCAAGTGCAAAAGAGAATAATTAATGGTAATAAAGTGGAGGAGAAACATCGACCGGTGACAGACATTATCAGAATAGACAATTCTCTAAGTGAAAATAAAACGAACAACGCTAGTGTAACACCAAATTGCAAACTTGATCTAATATGATCTAGTAAAATTGAAGTGCTATCCATCGATTTGGACAATTTGATTGCAAATATTCGCATCTGAAATTATGATTAATATTGAAAGTAAACAACAATATTTATTCTCAAGTTTAAAATACTTTCAGGATAGGTATTATACATTCATTTCGGTCTAAACAAATCCATGAATCAATTTGTGGACAGATATGGGTTTTTTCTAAAGTGCTTATTTATATACCAACTGGGTGAACATGAGATCATTTTCGGACCTAGTAAAAGTCCTAGATGCTTAATTGATTGAAATTTTACTAATGATATGACGAATTCTTCTCATTAAGCAAAAGTGAACAATCTTTTAAGTCTTCAGATGGAATGAAATAAGAGCATTTTGAATACTGTGCTCATTAACATCTTATTCTCACAAGTAATGCCTTGCCATTTTGTTAAACTTGATGTTCATACGACTTCCTGATTATTTAACCATTATTGGATATTTTGAAATCGTTCTTCAATTATTATAAATCATTTGAGATAAAGCCCGACCAGGCACTGGTGAACCGAGTACGCTTGGTGCTTGGGGGCACAATTGGTCTCTTTTGTAGTTGGGAGATGGCTTATTATCATGGAATCGCGGCTTGAGATAACAATTATGAGACTTAAACTTCATTTTACTTAAACGCACAAGTAGGTTTGAGATGCAATCGCCAACTAAACAGAAGCCGATTGTGAAAAATTAATAATTTTGTATTGACGTCAAACTTCACTCCATATTTTATCATTTTAAAAGTTCATTTGAACTCTCCAAGGCCAAATTGAGAGGAAGTTAATACTCCGGCACTCAGATTAGCACATCTGATTTACGAGTATTGGTCAAAGGTCTATGATTTGTTTTAATCTTTTGCGAATCTAGCATGACGCAAACAGAACGGAAAGCTTTTAAAAGTAGTGCCATTCTCTGCTTTGAATTCGCTAGCTCCTTTATTTGAAAATCAGCCTCAAACCGACTATGCTTATAATTATATTGTCATTCTTGCAATTTGATTGAATAGGTAAACATGAGAGTATTGATTTTCGAAAGCTCTCAGCCAATTTAGAAAGTTATTATAGTTCTCATTTTTATTGACTTCTGTAGTCTTAAACCTATACAATTTGTGACCATTTTAATGCATCGAAGTGTGCGCAGTTGCCTTGACAACGAGCATTATGCGAAAAGAAAAATCGCACACTGAACACAGAATAATCGACGATTCACACACGATTGGACAGGACATCTACGCCTTCAATTGTGCCTTTCCTCTTCCAAACATCTGATTTCATTGTTTGGTTGTTTGTAATTGAAGTGATTTGCAGCATCTTTTTACCTCCTCACTCACAGTGACTTCTAGAAACTATATATATATTCTAAAGCTACTTGCCTCGTCTGTATGCGATCCCTTGCTCATCAATCTTTCAGCTTGGTATTGACGTCTTGGCATGGCAAGAACCTCTTATACCATTTCCCTCATTTTTTCGAGCAACAGTACTCTCTTGCTTCAACTAATTCGGAACTCATGAGGCAAATACAAACTTTCATTTTGAGGCATTAGAATGAAACTTAACACTGCTATTAATTATGTTAGCCTCGCAGCGTAATCCAACTTAAACTCATTGTGCATATATTATATGGGGATTCTTTTCCTATGTATCATCAACTTGTTCACCTTTTTCATAAGCAGTTTGTTTACATGACTAATACTAACAATTGCTACTTTTCAACAGGGAATGTGGCCTTGGCTAAACTTGGCGCAATGATAAGTAATGAAACATAGTGAAGCTAGAAAATAACTACATCCACCCACGTCTGCCCGAATAACAGCGACAATTACTCGCAAGGCCAATTACAGTCATCAGTAGAACTGCACATAGCCATTATAATTGTTCAACGCGTGGGCTGCCGCCCTTTCAATGTATATAAAAAGCGGATTTTTCATTCAGTTCGACATTCTCACAGCCTCTTGCGATAATGGCCTCCTCTACTATCACACTACCCAGTCTCCTAACTTTGTGTCTTTTCTTTCTTGCGGCAGATGGGTAAGTTCATCGAGATTATTAAGCAAAATTTTAAGTGGATATTAAATTCTAATTAAAAATTGTCCTTCTCAGTCATACTTTGGTAAAAAAGTGTCCGAATAAAACTCCAATTTGCTCTCATGGCCAGTGTTTAAAACACATTCACTACAGTGGGAGTAATGTGGTTGAGGAGACGGAATGCATTTGCGATCCCAATTACTACGGTAAAGCCTGCACAATTTTAATCGAAACGGAGTGGGATAAATCCGAAGTTGTGAGCCCAGTGGATACGTCATACTTCTCCATGGCTCATTTTGGCGATGATTCAGAAGATGAGTTTGGCGAAAACTAGTTATGAGGTGGTGGATGATGGTAACGGAATACTTTGCATTTTAACAATTCCCTACGGAAACCTCTTAAGCATTTTGTGATGTTTTTTCTCGTGCCTGCTTCTATATATATATATATTTATGTTTTGCTTAAAGATGAATAAATATGCTTTGTTTTAACTGAATACATTATTGTGAAAACAAATAAGATGCATTGGATAAATAGAATTAAAGCGCGATAATCCGCAATTTTTCTTAGCCCTGATTTTGTTTGAATTATATTGAAAAGGTTAGGATACATTGAAGTTCAATTTATTCGGACCCAGAGATGAATTAAAATATCCTATCTTGGAGGACTTAATGAAATAGCATGAAAATAAGTAGAAAGTGAATTAATAACTATTTATTGTGAAAGGTATAAAGCAGAACTACTTTAGTATAGCCCTGTGTGCAATCTTAAGCAGTTTTAAGTTGTAAGCATTGGTGTGATAAAGGAGAAATGCCCCCCTCCCAACAGTTCAATATCCGCTTCCATTTCCTCTTTCGAAAAACAGTAATTGTGCTATTTGTTTATCCAATATGGGAGGTAATTGAAATTGAGTTGGCTACTTACGAGGGCAAAAATCTTCTACCACTCCAGATAAGACTGCATAGTTATTCAAAAATAGTGCGCAACGCTACCAAGGCTGACCAAAGGAATTTCACGTATACTCGAACAGTCTGGAAGGCGCGGCTCCCGTGGAGAGCGAGTGCGACGTGAGTCCAGAGACCTCTTAGCCAACCATCAACAAATTGTCATTAGAGCGCAGTATAGCACAAATTGCATTTAATGCTTAAGCCATGTGACATTTCAAGATTAAGCAACAGACGCTGTTCCCCTCACAGATTCAGCTTCCTCGATGCTATTAGTGTAGTTTAACTAATTTTTTGGGCGCAATTTTATTCCAGAGAATTTTGTCAGAGAGGTTTATTGGGGGTTTGATCGATGCTAATCTGTGACTTTCTGCTACGAACTCTAACTCTTTGGTATTGTGGCTTTACGAAAGGCTACTTTTTACACGAGTCCGATATTGAATTAGGCCAATGGGGTAATTATTTCAATCAAATCGAATCACATATAGCTATTCCAAATTGTAATGTTGTGTGCTTTCTCCCACATATTTTCCATTGTTACTGAAGCCAATACTCTCGTAATTGTATTAGCAACAGTGCATAGCTTGCCACATTAACTATTAATGGATTTAAAGTAGTAGAGGGGCTAATTCCGACTTAAAATTTAGTGCTAATGACTCCTATGTCATTTCTTATTATTGCAACTACAAACTCAAAAAGTTACGGTGGCTGGAAATTTGGCTCTTCCAGCAGACAATCAATAGTGACAGCAATGGGGTGCCTCATTTAAAACAATATTAAGGCAGGCGTAGACATACATCCATGTGGTACACCCTGGACAACGTATACTCATACAGCAAGGAAAGTCTATAACTCGGCAATTGACTTCAAGCTAATCAAATATAATTAAAAGAGCTTTGTTTAGGGTTAAATATAGGTAAAAATTGATTGATAGACTTCATGGAAGCATTAAGTGTATCTGTGTTAAGCAGCTTAACGGTCAAACAGTAGGCAAACTTATTCAAGAGTTAATATAATAAGCAAGTTATAAATTTATAACAAGTGTTAACAACTATTTTCCAACAACTCCTAGTCAAAATAGGCAGTAAACACGCATTTTGAATACAGCACTTTAAAATTTAATTGGCAAATACTTGTAATTATAATCGTTAGCAATGTAATTATGGAGAACAACAACGACAATCATTTAAACCAAATTAGCTAGATCACTTTAGTATCAAAATGGGAAAATTTTTCATAAAAATGTAAAATCAAATGAGAACCTGCTTTACATAGCTTAGCAACTTCTATGCAATAAATAATGGGGAGAGTTTGCTTTGTCTCTACTGCTTCGCAGTTCATATTACGCGGCAACAAATTGTCACAGTTTATAAACAAGCATAATTTATTGAAATAAACACATAACCAACATCACTGTTTTCATGAATACCTAGTGAGCCATGCTGGGAGTGCAGAAAATAATGTAGTGGTTACCAGAGAAGAAGAATGACAGCGAGTGATTTGGCATATGTGAGTAGAAGTAACCATTTGAACCATTCACTATGAAAACGTGCCACACTTCACCGTAACGATTTTCTGCATGCACCTTGATTTTCTCTGCTTGTCTCTGTAAAAAATAGAACAATAGGTGTTGTAAAATAAACAAAGAAATCGGACTACACTTGGCATGACTTCTTAGGACATGACCAAAATTACCCCATTGAAGATCAATTTTATCCATACCGTACCATTGGACACTACGGTGCCATCATTTCTCATTTGCTTTCCTTCGTTATAATGGAATGGTATCTTTGACTGTTCATGAAAATGACTATTTTCTAAGCATAAGTAATATAACTTGCTCATAAACTGCAAATTAAACACTTGAGTATGGCAATCTTTAGGCACTAATTGAAAAATTTTTCCTTTGAGTCATAAGGTGGGTATTGCTTTGGTTGTGCTATCTAATTTAGTGCCACGTTATTGTCACAAGTGCTTAGTAAATGATAACAGATTGAAACGCACTATGACGTGATTAATTGGAGAACCAACAACTAGGTTCACTCGGTTACCAATGATCAGTATTGAATACAATGCAAATATGAATGTAAGATCCGCCCATTCTGGGCTGCCAAATATCACGGAATTATTGTCTAATCTTATTCATGGGGGTACATTGGTGTGAGCGAATTTACTCAATCCAAATCCAGAATTCAACGTCACTCTCCTCTTTTCTGTTTCTGAATTTGAAGGTTTCGAGAAGGACTATAGCAGCTTGAGAACAACGATAATTTGATAACAATGCGGAAAGCTCATTTAGTAATTGGAAACGCAAACTGCATTCTGACAAAAAACGTACCTAGTGAACCAAACGCCTAAACCCTAACATGACCTCATATTTGGTTTATTCCAAAATATTTCAACATTATAGTTTTAGGTTCTGAGAAAAATTTCCGTAGCTTACTTGAAGGTCACCTGGATTTTCCTCAACTGCTTTTCGCGTTGCTTTTAAAATATCTTCCATCATTCTTTCTGACATTTCTTGTTCAATTATTTGAATTTGTTGAACAGTTACTGAAGGATACTGCTTCAATCTAAAAGTGAGTTCAGTAAAAATTTAAACTGACATTTCGAAAAGCTTTCCTACTGTTGGCAACTAATCTCTCTATGAAAATTTGTTTTAAGAATTTGGTACTAAGGAAACAATTGATAATGCAACAAATTTAGACATTAAGCTAAATCTATTTTAAATACAATCAGTTATAATTAAATTTCAAAGGGTACTATGTATAATCTTACAACTCGTCCATATCTTCTTGTAGGGTTTCACAGAATGCTTCTAGGGTAATTTTTCCAGTTCCTTTTGGATCAAATAACCGGATCCATCTCTAAAGCAGAATTAATTAATATTTACATCAATTAACTATTAAAATATCTGAATGCTAATGTTCAAGCTTGCTCTTACTATTCGATCTTCCAAATATTCGATATATATGGGGGGATGACTATTAATATTAAAGATATAAGGTTCATGAATATCAATCCCTATTCAAGATAATTAAATGGGCAACAACTTCTATACTGAAACACAACAAATTGGTCTCCTTACTAACCTATCTTGATCCCTTTTCAATAATTTTCTGAATAATATGAGTCGGATGGGGGGACAAGCATCTTTGGTAACGAAACTCAAAAATTCGAATTATCTTTCATTTTAAAACATTAGAATCAATGAACTGAATATCTCCCATATAAAACCTGCAATACTTAGCTCTTAATGGGTGCAAAATTGTTAAAGAAAAATAGAAGGGTAATTATTTTAAAATATTAATCATGCATTGTTCAAATTGAATATTACCTCCACAACCGTTGGGCTCATTCGATTTTCCTTCACATAATCCTCCAAATCCTTGATTGTGATATAATCTTAGAATATTAATAAGTTATTTTTAATTCCATAAAATATTAATATTAGACTTGAAAGCTGCTTATATATATTTGTAATTGTTATAATATTTATTTAAAAAATACTCCATAAGAATAAAAGTTCTTTTTACGCATTGTAGAATATAGTGAATAAGTTTTAAAATAAAACTGTTTGTTGCCTACGGTTTTTCTCCTTGTCAATGGAGAAGAAAATTGTCTTGTAGTCAGCCATTTCTCGCGTTTGAGTGCAAGCTAATGTGCTCATTTAGCATCGCGTTGCTCAAAATTTTGTGTGGTATGAAATGCTTACGAGCCAATCTATGCATAACAACAAAGCTTCTTCATATCTGCCCTCAATGACTTTCCCACATAATTGTAAGTTAAATACCACAAGAAACACGGAAATGAAATCCAAGTGTAGTTACATTTTAGGAGTGAATAATTGATCACTGAAAAGTTAGTATTATTCTGAGTATTCTGAAAAAGCGTACGAGTGGGAGAAGAAGCTTAGATATCTACTAGGCAAATTTGTGTGCCTCTCTCACCAAATTGACTGTCATTGGTCTTCGCACACAATGTAATTGGAAAAGCGTCAACTAAAGTGAAAGCCAATAACAATTTTAAGGTAACTCTGCGTGATATTTATGATGAGGGAATTGAAAGAGGAAGAGCAATGTTACGATTTGCTGTCTAGACTCGGTGAAGTGTGCGCTTATCCCCCCACGTAAAGGGAAGGAAACAGATTCAACCCCCCCCCCCTCCCCATGCGTTTGAGAAAGCAAGAGAAGTTAATCAGTCGTTGGGTGGATACTTGATTTAAATCAGTAAATTTAAAGATGGGGTTATTTAGCGTATTGAATGAGCACAATAACAGGTTAGTAAACAAGGGCACAACTGCTGTACAGCCAGGATCCGTTTGCATAAAATGTCCAGGTGTTGATTGGTTTCTGTGAGGTGATCAAACACTCGATTCTACTTAGAGCAACGCATATTTGACTGCAGCTAGTGTCCCCCAAAAAAATGAAAATCAACAATATTGACAAAATTCACACGTTAATAAGAAAACGTTTTTGGCTAGCTATCCTTAAAATAAGCATTTGGACAAGCTCCCCAATAGGTATTTAACAAAAAATAGCGCAAATTAGCGGTCATAGTTTAATTTAAACTCTTAAAGTAAATTATTGCAATTGATGCGTACAATGCGATTCAATTAAAAATTAAAATGATGTAATTTTGGTAATTTTGTGAGTGAGAAAGCAAGTTTTTACGACTTCTTAGATTCTCTTGAAGATTCCTAATTAATAAAAGGAAGTGTTACGAATGTTGAAATTAAATAGAAAGATCACATTGGCTCATATGCCAATAAATCAATTTTTGTATTGTTTTTCATTGTTCGACAAACCATTACACCATACACTGACAATAAGCTTCTTTCCCTCCTAGCAGTGGTATTCTGCGTTCGCGTGCTAGTCTTAAATACAGTATATCCTGCATTGATATTGTATTTTCTACCCACATGACTGACGTCTAAGGGATTTGCAGTGATAATCCCATATCCATATTCCAGTTAAAATTACATTCGACGATGCAAAAAAAGTTCAGGTGGAGATGTAAATTAACAAGAAATAATATGTGACCAATAACCACAAACGCTCATTTATATATTTAAATAAGAGTAGATAAAGCTCACTTTTTATTCGATTTTTTAACTTATAGCAAATAAAATGAAGTATATTTTACACAGAATTAATAATAATAATCTGCTGTCAACTTTTCAACAGCGAAGGGCGAGAGTAACAACCATGTTAATTAACTGTAATTTAGCTAATAAAGCAAATAAGCGCAAAGATTTTTCCAATAGAAATATGAATAGCTTAAACTCCTAGAAAAAAATAATTTGGTTTTATATTAAGATTGTTGTATACTTTAGTAAAACATGGTTGTTAAGGCACGTTTATATCAAGTCATTTCCTACAGACAGACTTACTTTCGTTAAAACTTAAAACTAATTCTTATTCTTTCAACACTACTTAATGAAATTTAGATAAGCTGTTTTTTTATAAAAAATTTTGAGCAAAACTTTTTAATTATAGGTAATCAATTCACAAAACACACACAAAAACAATGGCGTATTTATGAATGGAATTGGGGTTCAATCAACCCTTTTTTCCATAATTGTGGTACTTAAGCATATTTTATGTTGGTATGATTCTTATATTTATGAAAAGAATGTGCAATATGTTTTCGCTAATTTATCAATTCATTTTAGTGACTCAAAATAGCTTTCAGCTGAAAATATCTAATTTGTGTATACATAATTTACCCTTTGCTATTTAAGTAAGATATTAAAATTTGGCTCCTTAGGTGATTATAATATTTGTATGGCTTATATCAGATAATTTCCAGCAATTGTGTTCACAAAGAATGCTAATTCAATAATAGGAGGCTATAGTCAGTAGAATGTAAAGTGATTAAAAAACGCAGGGAAATTTGTAAAAGTCAATAGGTCACTTGAACGCCAGCTTATAAAGGGTGGTATAAATTAAATATAAAGATATAATTTCCAATATCCGTTAAGCAGCATATAACCAGCCACACGTCAAAAACTAGCAATTCTGCAAGTAAAGAATTTGGTTAAGATTAACAAAGGCACCCCTTTAAGGCACTTTAAGTGAAAATTAAACATATAATTTAGTGGTGAGAATGAAGAAAAGACATGAACATGAGAGAAACTTTCGTTATATAAACCTTACTGTTTGTTTAAAGAATTTAAGTAGCTCTTTCCGACACCTCACAAATGCAAACACAACGTGTTTATGGACTAGACCATAAACTAAAGAAACCTGGCCCACAAATATATCTGACAACTGACATAGAGGTTTTACAGAAAATTTTGGAAAGTGGGTTTGTTTGGAATACAAAATGAAACTAAGATAATAAAATTCTAAACTATTTTTATATTCATATGTTTAAAATCCATTTTATTTACTTAAAAACCGCAGGAATTCTATAAAAATATTTTTATATTTTTTAATCTTAATCATGATGAGCTAATTTTTACTTAAATCCACGCCAATCTTAGTGAAATAACTCTCCTTGTGTGCCTAAATTCTTAATATTTTATTATATAACAACCATTCAAAATGTACCATTTCAAATGCAAAAATATCTTGGATTCAATAGAATTATCTAAAAGAGCAAATGGAAAACGCCTTTACTATAGGTTACTTATAGCAGTAATAAAACTTGATCCCTTTAATAATGTGGATTATTATTAAAGTTAATAAATAGTAAATCATACAATGAAAAATGATATTATAGCTGAAATATCACTGAAGATCACAAAGTCAAGACCTTAGGTTTTGTTATAATAGACCATGTATCGCATGGGCGACTCGAATATTGTCGCCTAAAATGGCGTCCAGCATAGCTGATGCTAAGGATTGGCCAACCGACCAATCCATAAATGTCGTAGTGGATTATTCAACTGATAAACTCTTAGCAGTTAAGTATGTATCAGATGGAAAGGTATACCGTGGTGTTTTACTCGCCGATGACCAGAGGTAAATATTTTGCCTTTTGGTGTAATTAAGTTGATCTCCCTTTTCGTTTTGAGGTTGAAGTTGCATGAGAAATTATCTTATTTAGAGGTATTTTATGCATGTCGTTGGTAAAATAGGGCCTTTGTATTTAATGTGATGTACGTCATGAATTGCAAATGAAATCTATTATCGTAGTACTTATGACGAAAGCTAAAGAAGTTGTTCTTTCGTAGCACTATTAATATTCGGTATTCCCTGTCTGTTAAATTAATTTTTTATTTAATGTGCCTGTGAGTTTACATGGCTCTCGTCTTTCGAGCGAGCTTCCCAATTTCCGCCTGTCTGCTTCGCTAGATTATTAGATTATCCATCTGTGTAATTATCCACATGATTTATGTCATGTACATACGGAATACATTCAACCCTTGTCTGCTGGCCATTATGCGCACTTTATAAGTTTATTTTAATAATGTTCGATGGCGTTTCAGGATTGGTGTAAATGAAACTCGTGCAGCCGGTGCCGAAACTTGGCTATCCTTCACCACGGATTCTAACCATGGACTTTCTTTGAATTCAACAGCCTGCTGTGCTGAACGTTTTACCTACAAGTCTAATGGTGAGGCTTCTCGCTTCAGTATACTCCACTCCAGTAATAAGCGTCTTTTTCCTTCTCGCGGACCGTCACGTTCAGTCTTTCGATCTAAATTAGAGAATATCTGTCAAATCTGTAAAAAGAGCATTAATTCCTCTTCCTCTGATTTATACCCCCAGGAAGAAACTTCCCCGAAATCTAGCAAACGAGGTCATAATGCCAGCGATTCTCATCAAGAGGGAAAGTCACTGTCTTCAGTTAAAAAGCGTCGGTTAGATGAAACGACCTCTAAGAAAGATTCTATCAAATCAAGGAAATCTAAAGATGTAGAAGGTGGATCTGGGAAGAAAAAGGCGACAGAATCGAAAGACACCTCTACATCAGCAGGAGCAACGGCAGTTAATCATTGTCCGCTTGAAATCACTAAAACAAAACTTTCAGCTGAGAAGCTGCCGTCTAATACCGAAAATGGCAGTTCTAATGCAGATATTTTCAAAGAATCTGTTAAAACAGATCGTAGACGGTTGGCTAAATCTCATGAGAAACGCATAAATTTTGATCGGCAAACATCTACAAAAGAGGAAAAGGAAACAACTTCTAAAGTTCCTGAGCTTCCGCAAGCGCCTGCTGTTATCGCCACAAACCCTGAACCCCCTCGCCCACATATTAAGATCAAAATCAATCGAGCCCTTATATTAGGTGATGGAGATGCGGCTTCTAATCAGAGTAGGAACTCAGATTGCGCTGGCGGCTATAAGGTCTGTTTCTATCTACGCTATTTATATTATCGTTTGATGGTTAAGCAAAAACATTGATTTATAGACAAGTAGTGTTTAATGCCATGTGTTTACGCATTTATGAATTAACTCCCAAGCCTATTTATGAAACAGTTTTCAAATATCTTGGGCAAGAAATCGTATTATGGATCTTCCTTGGTTAGAGTCGATTCCCATTGCCAACCACGTTGGTCGTACTTAACCGAGGGCCTTTCTCCTCATTAAGCATGAGCAGATATGAATCAAGCCTCTGACATCTGATTTAACGCACATTCATCGTGAACTGTGCATCACCAACGCACACTACTTGCTATTCAAGTTTTCGCGTTTGTACACGTGGTGACAAGAGTGTAAAGGGGCAGTAGTCGTAAATTTTCCTGTAATTTCGTTTCTTGTTATTCTAATTGTTAAAAGATATATCACCAATGCTTATTATAACATTTTTGGAGATTTGATTTTCGCCATATATGGTAGATTCATTCACTACTTAAGCATTTACACTTTGTCATTTTTATTAGCTTTTGAGATATACTATATTTTACTGATTCTCTCCAATGTAAAGTGCTGTTCAATTTATGGAATAAGGCTTATTGAACAAGACGATGGATAGGTCTCACATGATTGCACGTTTAATGCCGAGGTCTATGCGACTTTAATTACCTTTCAGGCGATTTTTATATCCTCCAGCTTTTGCTTTTACTGCGCAGTTCTTAATGTTAAATTCATGTGAACTTCTACTACTCACTTCTTAGATCAGTCTTGCACTTATATAGCAACCCCATGGAAGTGTGGTGGTTAAAGGCGAATGGTGTCGTTGTCATTTCTTTTGCTAGTTTGTTTCCGTTAAGAAGATTTTTAAGCTGACTGTGTTTATGTATTTGGGACTTCTAGTGCGGTTCTAAATTGTACTTGTAATTTATTGAGCAAAGATTCGCACTTGTAGCCTTTACGAATTTAGTTTCATATTATTACCTACGGTAATATAATTTTTAATTATGGTTAGCAATTGAAATTATTTATATTAAATGACAGGCTTTATGGTAGGCATTATTAGCCCTTTAGTTGACTTCGGGCTTCACAGAGGGGAGGAACAGACAGTCACAAAAGGTGGAGAGGGGAACAAAAGAGTGATTCACAGATGTAAGACAGACTCGAAAGTAGAGAAAAAGGTAAGGTGAGTACCATGGGGGTAGTGAAATATTTATTTATTTCAAATGGCAGGCGTTTTGATAG